AGAGCAAGTAAGAAATTGTAGTCGGTAGAGCCTTTTATTGGAATTCGTGTCAATTATGAACTAAACTCGCCAGAGCTCGATAGAGTGACTGATTTCTAATACCAAAAACAGTTATGAACTTTGAAGTCATATTCTGAAGAAAACTTTAGATGAAGGCTCGGATTATATGTGGACAAATTTTACCTACAGATTGTAGCAATGAAATATCTGTTGCAAATATAAGCTCTCTAGCTTCTCTCGTTTAAGCCCTATCGTGTTTAAAACTGAGAGACGGACCGATATATAGACAGACTGTCGGACATGGCTAGATGGTCTTAGAATTTATTAAGCACCCAGGATAAATTTAAGTTTGTGGGTCTACGAGCAATATTTCGGTATATTGTAGACGAAATATGGAAACAATGTAACCGTTCGAAATTTTGATTTACTCTCTGAGGCAATGTTGTATTAGCTCTTATCTTAAAGAACAAAAATTATGATATTATAAAATCAAAAAACTTTTTCTTTATCTCCATATCCTACACCACTAAAGTGGGGTCATATACCTACCTTTAAGTATACCAATAGGCCCAGAATCTGAGTCCATTAAGCCATGTCCATCCGTCTTTCCATCTGTCCATGTAAACATTGTAATCAAACTACAGGTCGTAATTTTGAAGATAATTTTAAACTTTTGACTCAAGGACGTACCCTATTGATTTTGGTTGATTTCATTATTGCACCTAGCCCCCATATAACGGACCCCCTGAATTGGGATTTGGAGCTTACAATTATACCAAACACACTAATATCCTTACAAAAATAGGCTCAAATAGGCTGTGAAAATCCTTGAACGTCGTTAAATTATCATCAAAAATTATATCGAAATTAAGGTAAAATTCAACATAAATTCTACTATTGACTAGTGACGATTACACTTTTTTACTTGTTTCATTTCAAGTGGAAAGTTAACATTGTGAAATTGCAAAACACCACTACGTATACATGTTAATGATTTATTGATATTACAAATATTAAGTATACGCCTAATTTGTAGATTTTGTTCTTAAGATGAAGTTTTTTTTTTCACAATTTTTGTTCTTTATGACAAGAGCTACTGAGAAAATTATCACTTTTTTGCAAAAATAACACCGGCCCATAAAAAATGTACAAGACTTTGTGCAAAACAGGGAGACACAGGTCTTTTTTTGGTCTTTTATCACGTAGTGGTATCTGTATATCATCATAAAATTCGTTAATACAATTTTTGTAAAAAAAATATTTTAGGCAATTCTCATTAGTGTAGAGCAATAAAAGTTATAAAATATAACACTTTTTCTAATATATACACATCAGGACAGAGTAATAAAGATTTTGGGAAATAAAATTGTCACATTGCAAATAAAAATTGGATAAATTTAAAACTATACTCAATCGTTTTAGTTGTTTTGCAATTCTTTTCATCCCAACTGCTGTTCAACAACTTTCTATCACAAGTCTGATAAAATTCTTCAAATGCTTTTATCAAAAAATTTCTAATACCATAACGAGTGTGCTATTCTGTACTTGACATATGCTTTATGTCTTTCACTTGTATTGTACACCATATCAGTCATTCAGCTAGATGTCAGCCATAATAAATTTGAAAATTAATCATCACTTAAATCCAACAAAAAAATCTCGAAAAAAGAAAAAAAAAAACTAAAGTGTGAAAATTTTAAATTTTTATTGAAGTCTGGCCTGTATTCATTATTATTTGGTATTCTTCTTTTTTCTAATCTAACTAAAAATAACAACATTTCATAAGCATTCTTTGTAAGGGTTCAGTTCAATTTTCATTTAATTTCTACTTCAAATTGTTCTCTTTTACTTGAATATTTTTTCGTCTGTGAAAACATAAAATGAATAGGCTTCATTAAAACATGAAGAGGTCTGTAAATGATGTTTAAAACCACCAATTTTATTGCTAATGATGGTTTTTCATATTTACAACTATTCAAAAAAAAAAGAACCCACCATCATTAATGCCAGCAACCGTGGAAGCTTCAATTAGTATTTTTTTGCAATTTAAACATTATTGTATGTTGTATTTAAGTGTTGTTTTGTTGAAATAGCAATTAACAAACAATTTTAAAATATACACAAAAACAATAAATGATGATGATGATGAAAACGCAAATCATTGCCAACTAAATATTCATTTAAATTTAGTGAATATAAGTCTATATAAATATGTACATACACATATATTTTGTGTGGTTAAAATAATGAGTTTTAAGCAGTATTGCCACAACAATTTTTTGATTTATTTTCAGGTTATCCCTGCTTAGAAGGGATGTTTTTATGGGAATATTTTAATTATTTAAATTAAGTGAAACTATTTGAAAATTTTATTCAGGTTTTTGTTAATTAAATTTTCTAGCGAAGCGTTATAATGTTTTATTGTGACAAATTCAAAACAGATTAATCAAGCTTTTCGCTTAATGAAATAAAACAACATACATACATATGTAAGTATGTGTATGTAATATTTTTGTCCAAACTAGACAAATTGTCAATTGTTAAGGTGAAATGTTCGGTGATTTAATTTTTGTTGGGGATTCATGAGAAATGGTTATTTTATTATAACACTTATTATAACACTTAATATACAATTAAACATTGAAAGTTTGAAGGTCTTTATTCCATAAAGGTCAATATATTAGTTTAGCTCTTATCTTAGTGTTAGTTAGTTAGTTAGTTAGTTAGTTAGTTAGTTAGTTAGTTAGTTAGTTAGTTAGTTAGTTAGTTAGTTAGTTAGTTATAGTTAGTTAGTGTAGTTAGTTAGTTAGTTAGTTAGTTAGTTAGTAGTTAGTTAGTTAGTTAGTTAGTTAGTTAGTTAGTTAGTTAGTAGTTAGTTAGTTAGTTAGTTAGTTAGTTAGTTAGTTAGTTAGTTAGTTAGTTAGTTAGTTAGTTAGTTAGTTAGTTAGTTAGTTAGTTAGTTAGTTAGTTAGTTAGTTTAGTTAGTTAGTTAGTTAGTTAGTTAGTAGTTAGTTAGTAGTTAGTTAGTTAGTTAGTTAGTTAGTGTTAGTTAGTAGTTAGTTAGTTAGTTAGTTAGTTAGTAGTTAGTTAGTTAGTAGTTAGTTAGTTAGTTAGTTAGTTAGTTAGTTAGTTAGTTAGTTAGTTAGTTAGTTAGTTAGTTAGTTAGTTAGTTAGTTAGTTAGTTAGTTAGTTAGTAGTTAGTTAGTAGTTAGTTAGTTAGTTAGTTAGTTAGTTAGTTAGTTAGTTAGTTAGTAGTTAGTTAGTTAGTTAGTAGTTAGTTAGTTAGTTAGTTAGTTAGTTAGTTAGTTAGTTAGTTAGTTAGTTAGTTAGTTAGTTAGTTAGTAGTTAGTTAGTTAGTTAGTTAGTTAGTTAGTTAGTTAGTTAGTTAGTTAGTTAGTTAGTTAGTTAGTTAGTTAGTTAGTTAGTTAGTTAGTTAGTTAGTTAGTTAGTTAGTTAGTTAGTTAGTTAGTTAGTTAGTTAGTTAGTTAGTTAGTTAGTTAGTTAGTTAGTTAGTTAGTTAGTTAGTTAGTTAGTTAGTTAGTTAGTTAGTTAGTTAGTTAGTTAGTTAGTTAGTTAGTTAGTTAGTTAGTTAGTTAGTTAGTAGTTAGTTAGTAGTTAGTTAGTTAGTTAGTTAGTAGTTAGTTAGTTAGTTAGTTAGTTAGTTAGTTAGTTAGTTAGTTAGTTAGTTAGTTAGTTAGTAGTTAGTTAGTAGTTAGTTAGTTAGTTAGTTAGTTAGTTAGTTAGTTAGTTAGTTAGTTAGTTAGTTAGTTAGTTAGTTAGTTAGTTAGTTAGTTAGTTAGTTAGTTAGTTAGTTAGTTAGTTAGTTAGTTAGTTAGTTAGTTAGTTAGTTAGTTAGTTAGTTAGTTAGTTAGTTAGTTAGTTAGTTAGTTAGTTAGTTAGTTAGTTAGTTAGTTAGTTAGTTAGTTAGTTAGTTAGTTAGTTAGTTAGTTAGTTAGTTAGTGTTAGTTAGTTTAGTTAGTTAGTTAGTAGTTAGTTTAGTTAGTTAGTTAGTTAGTTAGTTAGTAGTAGTTAGAGTTAGTTAGTAGTTAGTTAGTTTAGTTAGTTAGTAGTTAGGTAGTAGTTGTAGTTAGTAGTTAGTAGTAGTTAGTTAGTTAGTTAGTTAGTTAGTTAGTAGTTAGTTAGTTAGTTAGTTTAGTTAGTAGTTAGTTGTTAGTTAGTTAGTTAGTAGTTAGTTAGTAGTAGTTAGTAGTTAGTTAGTTAGTAGTTAGAGTTAGTTCGTTAGTTAGTTTTAGTTAGTTAGTTCGTTAGTTAGTTAGTTGTTAGTTAGTTATTTAGTTTAGTAGTTAGTTAGTTAGTTTAGTGAATACTCTATCAGGCCTGTTGTGGCGCCTCTTTACCTGTACCTCAGGTGGGAATTAACCCACGTCCTCCGGTCTACCAGACTAGAACACTACCCTTTTATGGAGTATATAAGAGAGCATACCAATTATTTCTTTCGCATAACTTCAGAAGTAGCGAATTTGGAATCACAAAAGGAAGTCCCTCCCTTGACAAGCCTGTGTTTAAATCGTGGCTTTTGAAGGTCTTTTCCTGTACATTCATGGACTTAATTCTGCTTATTTTTTGCTTGGATATTTTTCAATGTTATCGAAACTTAAGATGCATATTCTTTACACTCTGTCTTCAAAATAACTTCCTTTTCCCCTCTGACATTTAATACTGTAGTTTTTAAACCACAACAAATATTAATTATTTCATAAACACGCATATACATAAATATATTTTTCCTTATTTAATATTTATAAACGCTCATAGAAATTTTGTGGTACTATTAAAATAAATTTTAATTATTCTCCAAACAATATTATAATTTTAATAAAACAATGAAAAAAATTGTAATTTGTTTTCATTCTCTTCTATTTCTTTTCATAATTTTCAACATTTTCACAAATGCGTCTGGTCTTGCTGCTGTGTCGTTGGTTTGGTGTGATAATTCATCGTGTGTGTGCTGTTTATAATATTGTATAACCAACCTACAGCAACCATTCATGCCGATGTCATCAGAAATTTTGATTTAGCATCACCACCACAATACACAAACAGTAATGGTAATAGTGGCGGTGGTAGCTCCGGCGGCAGTGGTAGTAATGGTGCCAGCAGCAGCAGTAGTAGTAGTGGCAATATCAGTGGTGGTAGTAGTATAAGTAATATTAATTCAGTGTCTCCATCGTTACAATCTTCCTCGGCTACAATATATGCGTCGTCTTCGATAACGTCAGCGTTAGTACAGGCAGAGGCGCCGTCATTAGAAACATTTGTGTCAGCAGCATCAACATCAGCATTTGTGGAACCTTATTTGGATGGTTATGCCACAACAAATGTAACAACACAAATTGGTACACACGCATATCTGCCATGTCGGGTAAGTGTTATATAATTTTATTTTTCTACTTTAGTTCTTTAGCAAAAACAGAACATTTACTTTTTTTTTGTCTTTAGATAAGAGCATCTGAAGGAAAACAAGAAATTTAAAATTTATTGAATTTTTACATACACATATTCATATTAATATGAGTAGCGGTGATTTTGTCGTGCTTTTAACAGAGCAGTCTTAGTGATCAAAAAATATTCCGTAAATTTTATGGATATCATCAAATCGACTCATATAATAATTCGAGCAGTATTCAATTTTTCTATGAAACTATTCATTCTCATTTAATTACTTTAATGGTGTAGGGTAAAATCATGTATTTTTCAAATTGTTTCTTTTTACTAAAAACCCCCACTTCTTTATCAATAATGTGCGTGTTAAACATAATTTCTCCCAGTTTTCTAAATGTTCAGTCTTGTTTTTTTTTTTTTTTTTTTGTTTATCTTTAAATGTACATCCCTGCAGTTTCGGGTTTGTGTCCTGAATTAGAAATTCCATTCACAGTTTAAAACTACAACTGATTATAGTATTAGTCTTATGAACAAATTTAAACTGCAACAGTTTTCTAGTGTTTAAGAGGGAGACATTGATTGCAAATTGCTGGGTTTAACAAGAAAAACCCATCATGAACACACATTATCAAATATATGTATAATTTTATATTTAACATTTATTGTTTATTTTTATTTATTATTATTGTTGTTATTATTATTTTTTTTTTTATTTTCACCATGTTGTTGTAGTTTTCCTTTTTTGTCAAGGATACAACATTGAATGAATTGTGGCTGTTTACACAATTTTTGCGTGCTGTTGTTTGTTTATATTGCCAGTTGGTTGGTTGACTGGTTTGTTTGTCTGTTTACATTTGTCATAATTATTTTTTAATAACAAACCATTAATTTTTATTTAATTGTTTGAAATTCATAAATTTCATTTCTCATTTTCCCACTCAACTTATAACGGAACAGAACGGAAGAGTAGTATAAGAGAGGTTGCTTTTAAGTAGTGAAAAAAAAAAATAAAACTTTTTAATATCACGTGATGACTTTAACAATAAATACAATCATATTTTACACAGACATAATAAAATGCAAGAGAGGGAAAACCACAGAAAAAAAATTAAAACACGAAGGAGAATATCATTAATAATAAAAACACCTTTGACTTGTGTCTGAAAAGACGTTAGATTTAAATGCTAATGAATGAATGTTAAAGTCATTTATCATTTATTGTTTAATTTATTATTTTGATTATTAATAATAATGATAATTTAAATAAACATTATATTAACAGTAATTTTACACATTATGCTCTAGGTCACAAAATTGACCATGCGACAAAATAGGAAAATTATTAACACAAATAGTAATGGACACAAGGGGCACAATATTGTGGTTTATTTAACGATGAAGTGTCATTTGTAAATAACTTTTTTTTTATAACAATTTTAATGTTTATAAATTTATAGATTTAATTTCTTATTGTTTTAATTACATGACACTTGCAATTATGTTATGAATCGTTTATAATATATAATACTAACTACTAATAACTGAAAACACCATTCAAAAATGACAATAACTCTTTCGTAACCTCTATTGTGTGTGGTTGGGTAAATCAGTTTATTGTGATTTCATGGCTTAATTTAAAACTCATTGTATTTATACTATTATTATATATTTAGGGTTTGGCCTATGGTCTGGGTGCTGGTCTGGTCTATGATCTGGTCTATGGTCTGGTCTATGGTCTATGGTCTGGTCTATGGTCTGGTCTATGGTCTGGTCTATGTCTGGTCTATGGTCTGGTCTATGGTCTGGTCTATGGTCTGGTCTATGGTCTGGTCTATGTCTGGTCTATGGTCTGGTCTATGGTCTGGTCTATGGTCTGGTCTATGGTCTGGTCTATGGTCTGGTCTATGGTCTGGTCTATGGTGGTCTATGGTGGTCTATGGTCTGGTCTATGGTCTGGTCTATGGTCTGGTCTATGGTCTGGTCTATGGTCTGGTCTATGGTCTGGTCTATGGTCTGGTCTATGGTCTGGTCTATGGTCTGGTCTATGGTCTGGTCTATCTGGTCTATGGTCTGGTCTGGTCTGGTCTATGGTCTGGTCTATGGTCTGGTCTATGGTCTGGTCTATGGTCTGGTCTATGGTCTGGTCTATGGTCTGGTCTATGGTCTGGTCTATGGTCTGGCTGGTGGTCTGGTATGGTCTGGTCTCTGGTGTGGTCTGGTCTGTCTATGGTCTGTCTATGGTCTGGTCTGTGGTTACGGTCTGGTCTATGGTCTGGTCTATGTCTGGTCTATGGTCTGGTTATGGTCTGGTTACGGTCTGGTCTATGGTCTGGTCTATGGTCTGGTTATGGTCTGGTCTATGGTCTGGTTAGGTCTGGTCTATGGTCTGGTCTATGGTCTGGTCTATGGTCTGGTATGGTCTGGTCTATGGTCTGGTCTATGGTCTGGTCTATGGTTGGTCTATGGTCTGGTCTATGGTCTGGTCTATGGTCTGGTCTATGGTCTGGTCTATGGTCTGGTCTATGGTCTGGTCTATGGTCTGGTCTATGGTCTGGTCTATGGTCTGGTCTATGGTCTGGTCTATGTCTGGTCTATGGTCTGGTCTATGGTCTGGTCTATGGTCTGGTCTATGGTCTTGTCTATGGTCTGGTCTATGGTCTGGTCTATGGTCTGGTCTATGGTCTGGTCTATGGTCTGGTCTATGGTCTGCGATAAGGTTTGATAAGTATACTCTATAAATGGTCTGGACTTTTATCTGATATATGACTAGCTTAATGGTTTCTATATGTATATGATGTCACGTAAACTTTTATTATAGTTGGTACCATCGACAACTGTTATTGGAACCAACCTATTATATACATACATATAAAATATACATAAATACAATAAATTGCAGCTTATGAAACATTCATATGCCTTTCCAAACGTGTGCCTTTTTATGTTCCTCCCTTCTTTCAAAAATTTATTACCAAATTTTCTCTTCATATCATGCATTCATAGTGTCGTTATTGTTTGAAGGGAAGAAAGAGAATTAAATAAAATTGTTTATGACCATTATGTTGGACACTTGAAAAAATGTGTTAAATATTATTTACACCAAACAAATACACAAACCAAAAAAAAGGAAACATAGTATTGGGTGTTATACTGTTTATGCTGGCTACTGTTGTTATTAATGATGACAATATAAATACATATAAAATTTTCACGTTTCTTTGATAAACATAATATATAATTTTTTTTCATAATTTTTATGACAATACATTAAATTATTCACAAGCTTACATTTTTTATTTGAACTTTTTGGGTTTATATGAATATAAGTAGTTCTGTTGGAAGAGCTTTTAGGTTAGGTCATTCGATTTGTAACCTAAGGTGTAATGTTAATTGAATTTTCGATAATACTTTCAACTATTGTTATTAGATTAGTGAATTTCTTACTTAGGGTATATTAAAGTCGACTATGATATAATTTAGTTATATAAAATAAACCTTGAATATTTTATTAATTATAGTAATAAATGTTAGTTTTGTCATTAACAGCTATAATATTAGGAATGATATTTTTATGATATAATCGATAGTGATTATAGTTTATTTTATAACTTGAACCCTTATTAACTTCTATTTTACTTTTAAAAACATGTAATTAATATTTTCTTCTTTACAATAAATTTTTCTTATAAAAGGTGATGTCATCTAATCGACTCTTTAGTTAAAGTGTAATAAGAAATTTTAATATCCTATTTAATAACATAATGATAACCCTTACCACTACCGCTGGGTGGGTTCTATGCGATGTCCCTCCTTCCGTTCGTGCATATATTTAACCTTGTAATGAAACTATAGATCACATAATTTATTATAGCTCAATATAATATTGCCTGCTATTGAACAAAGGCCAGCTCAATAGCAAATAAAATAAAAGTCCTTTCAATTATTTCTATACAATTTGCACTTGACTATATGAACTTAGTGTTAAAAATTATTAAATAAAATATTATTGAAAATCTATCATCTTATTTTGTATGATAAGAAATTTATAATTTTTAGCAAATCATCAATACAAAAATTTCACAATATTGTCAAATTACAAAAACGAAGTAATATATATATGTAATGAGTAAAGGACAATTCTTGCAATTATAATTTCCTTTGAATGCCTGCACAACTCAGCATACTCAAAACTAAAAAGATCTTAAAAATATTTTTTTTTTTTTGCAAAAAATTTCAAGTACTATTGAATAATTTTCCAAGCAACAGAGCAATAAATGGAATATTTTTCTAAATTTATTTCTGTAAAGATTTTTTCCTTCTTTGAAATATTTGTGAAATACATTTACTTATAGTCATGGTCAATTAAATCAACTTTGTTTTCATTTATAAACAATTTTCAAAATGAAAAATTTTCATTATTTATTACTGCAAATACATATACACAAGAACGAATAAGGACATCTTTGTAACTGGTAAATTTAGGGAATGAAATAAATTTTTTATATAAAGATAAATTAAATCAAAAGAAATACAAGAAATAAAGTATGGTCGTTAAAGTAGGAAAAAGTGCGAAATTTCTTAAAGGACGAAGATTTTAAGTGGTATATATATTTATACCCTACACAACAATAGTGGGGAGGGTATTCTGAGTCTCTGCATCACTTTCTGAGTCGATTATGCTATGTCCATCTATCCGTCCATCCGTCTGTCCATCCATCCGTCTGTCCGTATATCCGTCTGTGTGTCCATGTAAAGCTTTTGCGCACGCTACAGGTAGCAATTTTCATGATAATTTGATGTCATTTGCTCAAGGAAGAATCCTATTGGTTGACTTCGGTCCATAGCCCCCATACAACCATATCCCCCGAATAGGGATAAATTTAAATTATACTGCCAATTTTCGTATTGATCGGACCTCATTTGACCCTAGCCCCTATATAAAGTCCACTTCAGAAAATGACTTGAATGTGAAAATTCTGG